AACTCTCCTCTCCCATCTTTATGGTCCTAAAAGCTAGGGAGGGTCCCTTCTCAGTTGTTTGGCATATCTCCAGTTCTTCTGCAGACTGCTGGCACTTGTTTAACACTTTGTCTAATTTGTGGTTCTTCTACTGTCTCCCAAGGTCAATCTCACATACCATTACACACATAGGCCTAATCCTTTGTTTGAGAAGATACAATTTGCAGTGGCGTTTGGTTTGGTTTGGTTTGGTTTATTGGATTTATATGCCGCCCTTCAACCACGGACTCAGGGGGGTGTACAACATTAAAAAAACACATATTACAAAAGTTAAAAAAAATTAGATAGAGTATCCAAAAAACAAACCCAATTAAGATTAACAATAACATTTATAATAATAACATCCCCTGATAGATAGCATGGCCTGAATCCAGAAAATTACCATCTAAGTGTACCTACAAAGGGGTAATAATCACATTATTTCTGTTTATATCTTGTTCCTAGGTCGAAAAATTCCTAATGTGTTTGGAGAGAGACTGGACCACTTGGAAGAGGAGGTCAGGCGTCTCTCACAGTCTTATGATACCTTATACAATATGGTGAGTGGCTTGGGGGATCACCTGCGACTTGCCATCCAGGAAGATACGAGTAAAATGATTGGCTCTCTCATGAATAGTCCAACTGTTCCTGATTCAACCATGGGATTCGGAATCATTCCTGAGGGAATCGTGGATGCTGCAGACAAAGCTGAGCTCTCCCCCTATCCACCTGTGGGTGAGATTCTAGGCAAAGTGACTGAGATGAGCGATTCACTGAAAATCAAGACTAACCTACTTGAAGAAGTGCACGGCATGGTCCTAGATCATGATGGGCAGATCAAAAACTTAATGGAATCAGCTCGGCCTTCACCACTCACTTCAATTGATATGTTAGAAGAATATATAGACAACAGGCTTAGCAACCTGAGATTGGAGCTTTTGGATGGCTTTGAGAAAAAACTGATAAATATTCAGAGTACCTGTGATTACCAGATCAAGGAAGTAAAACAGCAGTGTGAGGAAGAGAAAGCAGCCAACCTCCGACTTCAACAGATCTTGGATGGCAAAGAACTAGAGATCAAAAAAGACATTTCTCAACTGGAAACACAGATCCATGGACTGACAGTTGTAGAAAACTGCTGCAGCAACTTGAACTACCTCACCAAACGGATGGATATTTTGGAAAAAGGCCTACATAGTATTTCTGAGTCTCAGAAGAATCTACATTCTAGGGTAGATAATGAATTGTCTCCCGACACGTTGGGGATCATCTTTGAAGGACGCTTTGTGGACCTTGAGGCTAGGCTGAATTTTACAGAGAGGGAAATAGGAAGTTGTTGTTCTAATGTAGAAGACACCATGAGAGGTTTGATGGGATCAGAGCTAGATGGCACAAAAGCTCTTTTTGAAAACAAAATTACAACCTTGGAGGAAAGGCTCATAACTATTGTAGGAGATGTGAATAATGTCAGTTCTGCAGTGGGGCTAGATGGAGCTGTAATGCCATTCTTGGAAGGAGAGCTTGCTACTATAACAAGGGAAACAGAAGAGAAGATGGAAGTACTACAGAGCCAACTGACTAACTTGGAGACCACTTGCTTGTTGGGTTGCACTTCCAAATCCAAAGATGTAGAAATCTTCCGTACAGAGATAGAAGACTGCCAAAACAAGAATCAAGATTTACTGCTAAGGATGGACAGCAACTCAGATCTGCTGCATAAACTCAATATTACTATCTTGGAGATGCAGAGACGGATAGAGGAGGAAACGGCTGGAACCTTGCAAGGTGAGATCACATTATTAAAGATCAATTTGAACACCATGACTAAATCTCTAACTGGGCTGAAGGATTCTGTTTCCCAGTACTCTGACTCAGTACTGCATGTTAACTCATCCTTGGATGATCATGAGCGTAAGATAGAAGATGAGGTCCATTCACTTCAAGAAATGATCAGTAATCAAGATTCCCAGCTTTTCTTCAGTAACAAGCGTGTCTTGAACCTAAAGGGAGACCTTGAAAGGCTGAGATCCAGGATCATCAATGACTTGAGCAACTGCAAAAGTCTGGCTCTCGGCCTGCAGAAAGAAGTGCTCCAATTTGATGACCGTGTGGCCCAAATAGAAGATACGTGTGGCCGATTGGGCAGTGTGACAGGAAGCCTGGAACACATCAGAAATGAACTGGAAAACAATGCAGGAAGTATGTGGGGTTACATGAATCATATTAACAAAACTTTAGCTACTCACTCTGAGGAAATAACGGTGCTCAAGAATAACTTGTTGGATTGCCAAGCAAAAATTACAGAACTATCTGAAGATGTTGGTCTTCTAGAAGGCAAGCTGAAAAACAACCAACATTAGTTTATATTGGGTCCAAAGTATACCTAACTTATATCATACAGACTCCAAAGAGATGGTACCAGGATTTTTGTTTTATTTTGGTTTTCAAGAGGGGGAAGGTCACTAAACTTTAAAAGCTGCTATAGTCCTTTCCCTGATTTCTTCGGTATGGTTTTTTTAAATTACAATTTAAGTATCTTTGCCATTAACTGTTCTTTCTACAGATATTTACCAACTGTACTTACATAGCAAAGTGCCTTCCCATATTTCAGGTCATATTTACCTTATATTTCCAATACATAGTTCATTTCAAGAGGAAACCGGAGACAGATCTTTTTTAAAATCTGGTTTCTTTGCTTTGGGAATAAATCACAATTTAATACTTAAGGATTGAAATAAAGAAACCCAATATCTGTCAAATGTATTCATCTACTGGAAGCAAAAATCTTTTCAGAGGCCATAGTACAATACCTAGAGCAGTGATGGTGAGCCTTTTCAGCACTGAGTGCCCAACCAGAACATGCGTGCCGGCATGCCGGCATACTGGTTTCCATCACGTGCTGGCACATGCATACCTGTTTTTGGACCATTTTTTCAGGCCATTTTTCAGAGCCATTTTCAGGGTGATTTTTGGCCTGGTTTTGGGGGTGTTTTTCAGGGAGTTTTCAGGGTGTTTTGTCAGGCCAAAAAGGGCTTGAAAAGGGCCCAGAAAATGGCCCCAAAATGGCTTAGGTTTGGGGCATTTTTAGGCTGTTTTCGGGGTGTTTTTCAGGGTTTTTTTGGAGTGTTTTCAGACTGAGCCGAGGTGGTGCAGTGGGTAGAGTGCAGTACTGCAAGCCACTTCAGTTGATTGTTATCTGCAGTTCAGCTGTTCAAATCTCACCGGCTCAGGGTTGACTCACCCTTCCATCCTTCCGAGGTGGGTAAAATGAGGACCCAGATTATGGGGGCAATATGCTGACTCTGTAAACCGCTTAGAGAGGGCTGAAAGCCCTATGAAACGGTATATAAGTCTAACTGCTATTGCTATTGCTATCATTTTTGGAGCAAAAATGTCCTGAAAAGGGCCTGAAAATGGCCATTTTTCAGGACATTTTCAGGCGCTCTGTTGCCCACGAAGAACAGCTGGCAACAGCATGTGTGCTCACAGAGAGGGCTCTGTGTGCCACTTCTGCCATGCGTGCCATAGGTTCGCCACCATAAACCTAGAGTCATGTGAAGGCTCTGATTTAAGGTAAGACTTCCTCTACCCATTTTATATACCCCCCAATCTCCAATATATGGGCTTGAATTCTTCATGATAGCATCAATTAATGCAAACTTATGGGGTATTCATGTAGGTCAGTGGCATGATGTAAAAGATAAAACAATGCCCTTGTATAGAACATATTTTCCCTTCCTTTTGCATTGTCCTACAATAATCAAAGTGAATTTTTCAAGAAAACTGTGCAATCTGACTTTGCATGAAGGATGGTAAAACGCGGGTCACTGATTTAGATCCCATAGGTAGTTTGTTGCAACCCTAGGAACAAAAGAAAAGAAAGTATGCATAATATAGTGTTGTAGCATTACTATACTGTTGCTTCTTATTTTTGTATAAACATGGAAGAAGTTCAGTTGCACAAGATAATTATTATTGTACCCATTGTATTTTAATCTGATTTCTTCTTGGGCACTCTTGAACAACCAATTCCTCTTCTGTTTATTCTCATTTATTTATTTTTGAGAATGATAGCCTTTGAGAATGATTCCTTTCAAAGGAATTGCTCTTAAGCTAATGTAACAGCAATGGCATGTAACAATCCAATTTAGTTTAGTTCACATTTACTTCATTTCAAATCAATCTACATATAGAAGCAAATATTCTTCAAAATTCATATTATTCCCCGTTCAGCAATACAGAAAGTGTTTATGTTTGTAGGGGTGTGTGGGAAACATGCATAAAATACATACATTAGTGGAAATATCAGACAAATATATTTTAATGTCATATAAAAATTATAAGCAATATTGATGTAATATATTTAACTTTAAAAGGAATTTGTTTTGACCCAAACTGAAACAGAATCACGTTGAACCAAATTTAAGACTGAGAAATAAGAAAAGTCAAACTTAATGTATTAATCCATTGCTATGTATGACTACCGCTTGATGCTCAAGAGAATGTCAGAAGAACTCAGCTTCAGATAAACCTCAATAAGAGGTTATTGAGGTTAATTTTGTTCTGCAGCTGAAAGTCTCTTCTATACTATTCTCCTATGATTGGACCCATTTTTACATTTTTGCTTCCACATGAAGACTACATGAAATTACTGGGAAATTCGCACAATATTACATAACATTACATACTGGCTAGAGAATATGTTTCATAGAAGGGCTTGCCATGCAGTAATTAAGAACAAATTAGATTGGCTCCCATGTAATAGTTATGAGCCGTTGGATTCAGAGTAGGAAAGTGTTCTGGATCCAGCATGGGTTTTCTAATAGTACCCGTGACTGTGACTATTTTAATTCATACGGCCCACACTAGGTCTGAAGGGCCCTTCCTCCTTTGGATCCAAAAATCTGCCCTTCTACTTGCGACTCCTAAAAGAGCTAGTTCCTATATGTACCTTCTTCACACAATACACAACTATGTGTATTGGTGGATTGATTTTGTGCGATCAAGCTGACCTCAAGTGTTAGTAGACACATAAATTAACATTCTTGAAGGATGTCACTGACCTGGTCCTTCAAGATTTTCACCCATCACTCCTATAATCAAGTCCCCCCACTTTATTGCTGGTTGTTCTCTTTCCTTCCACCTCTCCCAGCATTAGAGATTTCTGAAGCGGTCTAGTCCTTGCATAAAATGTCCGAAATATCATTTGAACCTGGTCATTTGTGCCTCAGGTGACAACTCTGGATGGAAAACTGTGCTTGTGTTTATATGAAGAAATGGAAGTGTAAGCAAGACTGTACATAGTTATTGCAGCAAGATGTATTTTTTCCTTTTCAGCTCATTTCCTAACCCTTCTCTTAACTAATTCGCAACCTTTATCCTAATCAACTGCTAATGAAGAGGATCAAGAGATGCTTTCCTAGTGTACTGTAGCTTCATAGTTAAGTTGCTAGTTCCTTTTGTTGTTCTTCTTTTTCTTTTTTGGTCTAGCAGCCCAATGGGCAATCAGGAATGATCTACTCTTACTGATGAATGGTACCCAAGAAATTAATCCAAATTGATAATTTTATTCCAGTGCACAAAAACTGCCCCTTCTGAATAATGAAATAATGAGCAAAATTGAAAATCAAAGAAGAAAGTTAATACTCTTAATGAAAACGAACAAATTATCCTAGTGCATCTTGTATTTTTCTATAGGAATTTAGGTTTATTAGGGGGGAAAAAATCTTTCCAGCCTAACCTTTGCTCTAAACCAGAGTATATTCCATTCATCTTTCCCTTTTTTTTTACCTTGCAGAATTGTTGTAAAGATAATGTGCATGAAATGCTTTGAAACACTTGAAATCAGCTATGTAAATGTTGCTTTTATTAAACTGAGAAAATATATCACATTATGTCAGACAGTATAAACATATGTACTGAAAATTATCCCATCAGAAAGAGATTTGAAACCTTTTTGTTATTTATCCTCAAATTCCAAGCCCCCCAATAGAGCAATTAAGTGTTATTCTGCAAGTAGAACAGGATGGCCCTATTATCAAGGAAGATTCAATGGCTGCTTCGGGCAACAGATCAGGGCATTAATTAATTATATTGATCTCAGGACTTCATCCAATGCCCTCCTGATGCAAATCTAAGAGAAATCTGCTATCTCAGTGTTACATTCTGAGGGCTCCTCAGATAAAGGTGAGACTGCAATTCCATAGTGTTGCCTTGGTTCCTTGCTCTGAGAAGCCCCAATATGGCATCTAATAGCTTTCCTCCAATAGCAGCAACCCTGTAGAGCAGGGCTGTCAACCCTATGTCACGGTGGTGTCACATGATGTATCACAACTTCCCCCGCTCTTTGCTAAGCCAGGTATGGGCATGGCCAGCGCTTGACGCATCTGACTCATGGGCCTTGAGTTTGATAGTGCTGTGGAGCATATGCGACACCCAAATAATACATTAAAAGCATGTAAAATTAAGCAAAAATACATTCAGAAAGTGGTAGGTGAGTGAGGTCACTATGGCAACCCATCTAGGATGCTGAAGAGATGACAGTGTCTTGATAAGATGAGAGCAATTGGCAAGCCTTGTGGCCCAGGCCAGTAGATTAACAACACCAGTATGTTCTGGGCCTCCCCTCAAATAGACTTGACAACTTCTCCACTCTTATGTTTGAATTTGGTGGCATTAGTTATGAGTGATATCCTGAACTCAATCCACTTTTTCGGAAACATTCTGCACTCCCTGTGAAGAGGGCACTGGTTTCACTCTTTCCTCCTCTCTTTTGTGCAACAAATTCTCATCGGGTGGTGGTGTGAAGAGGTTGGAACTTATTAGTGGTTTCATAATCAACGTTTTTGGCCTGGCAATTGATCTTATTGTATATACATTTACCAGAAGTAACTATAACTGGTTTCAATTAAACTTACACTTATCTAGTATTTTGAACATGAAATATAAGTTCAGCATTCTGAGTTGAAGTCTCCACTCTCTATGAAAAAAATTAGAGACACTTATAAAATTATAATTGCATCCTGTTTACTTCCAGGCATTGGAGATATTACAGTTCTAATGTGGAGGTTGTATTTGGTTTATCATTAATGAATAGACCAATTTGACAATTGCATAACCTCTTCCCTTTTTCTTGGAAGTATTATTACATTAGTTTCTATCACATGCTATTGGAGTGACCTCTATTAAGAATTACAGAACATAATATACCTTCCATTTGTCAATTCCAGACTCCAAACTTGTAGTTAATCCATTTTCAGACCACCAATTTACAAACTAAAGGTTTTTTTTCCCCTGAAGTGTTTGGGAAAGAAGGCATTATGTCAACTTGTGAAAGTTTCAAATTTATTTGTTGTTTCTGGTAGATTGTGGCCATAATTGTAACAATAATGATAACCTTGTTTAGTCTTGTTGTTGTTTTTTTTTTAAATGTACATTTGTTTATAGTTAAAACTGAACAATTGTTTCTATTGGGGGTAGGGGAAGAGAGGAAACTCTCACCACTTTTTCCAGAATTGTATTACTGTAACATCTTCTAAAGATATATTCTCAGAAAACTATACAGACATTTAAGATATTGAGACAATGGAAAAAAACTGACCAGCAATGTTATTTTCTGGATCATTGGTAAAAAAAAAGGGAAGAAATGTGTAGATACAGCTATAATTTATATTTTACGGAAGTAACATTTCAATTTGCAAAATCACGCCATTACCAAACCAAGAGGGAATTACACCACTGAAAGGAAGTCTAGGATTGTAAAAAAAATGCTCATATGTACACATTTGGAATCAATCACTATAATTTAAACAGAAGAACATTTCTTCATTATGGGCAAACTCATGACCAGGTATTTGGGATGCTTCTCCCTCCCCCTGTGGAAATTAAAATCCTCCCCATTCTTTGATTTTTTTAAAAACTAAGGATTTGATTGGACAAATCTTTCAAAAGGAGACCTTTTTTCCCCTAAAGTAGAATACATCAGCTTTCAGTTTTGAAAAATGATATCTTAGATCCTCCAGCCTGCACAGATCCAGCATGGCAATTGGTTTTGAGTTAGGATTCTTTTATTTAGCTCTTCAGTCTTCAAACCCAAAATCTCAATTATATATTTGTTTTTTGGGGGGAACCGAAATGATGTGCCCCTATAATCTCCAGGAACTGTGTTCAGCCCAATGATATATTAATCATTTAATTTATAATGCAAGGCCAAAAACAAACTAACAAACAAATCACATTCTGGTTTAGTATGCTGGACACCTGGCCAATCGCAATCCATTTGTACAAATCAGATTGATAAACTCGATAATGTTCAAATCCGAATTCAATAAGTGCTGATAACATTCTGAATCTTATTACACACTAATTTAGTATATTAAAGTCTAAGTTATCAAATACGAAACTGTAGCTACAAGTAAGTTTTCAAATGTACAGGATTCTTCAAGTTAAGTATGCACTAATGTACTATTCACATCACATGTGATGTTAAAATGAGGTTTATAAAGTATTGGGATTAAGAATGGGAAGTCATTGTTGCTTAGGATACCACATAGCAACAGGGATGACAGAGAACACTTTTTCCTAGTGTTCTCTTCATATGAAAATAGTTTCTGCAGTTTTTCAGAGTTTGGAGCTGAGACTCTTTATGTCATTTGCTACCTGATCCTTTAAACTCATGTCAAACTTTGGAATTCCAGCATATCTAGCATATATTTCATAACGAGAAATCGTCTCCTCTTGATAGAAAACAAGGTATGTATAATGAAGACCATAAGAAATTCATAGAGCGTTGCAAATAGATGGCTCATAGGACATGAGTGAAGTATCACTTTTGTTCATTGTATCTCCATCTACATTTAACAAAGGAAGAAATCATGTGTGAAGTAGAACAAGAACTGGTCCCCTGAATTCAATTTTCATTAAATTCACAGCAAAACTATAAATGGGGAGGAGGGGGAATCTGCACAAATCTTACAAAACGAGTGATTTTTGCTTATTGTATTGCACTTTTTCCATCTTTATTATTGGTGCTCTTGTGATAAAGAATATATAATCTTTATTTTCAGAACTACCGTGCTAATGGACATTTGGTGTTTTGACTATATCACTAACAAAGTCATTATAAAAATATATATAATAGTTCATAAAGAAAAGCATTTGGCGGCCATTAATTACCATAAGGTCAGAGACTACATTTTTCTTTTATCATCATGAATTAAAATATCCCATTGCAGCAAGTCACAGTATTCATGCCTGTTGCTACATTCAAGAGAGAGAGTTGAGGATTCAGAAGAGACTCTGTAAAACCAGGGGTCTAGTTCAGAGCAGCAATAGAGAATATTTTTTTTTAAAAAGTCACAGTACTTAGAAGTAACGTTTAAAGAATGCTCTACCCATATTAGATAATACTGTAATCAACAAAAGCAGCAGAGTATTGAAAGCATTATGAAAAGGGCATCATTTCTTGTAGAATACTAACGCCTAGGTGAAATGTGGTTTACTAGATTTTAAAGCACTGTGCTGGTGAGTAGAAGAATAGTGTTCTGTATAAGCTGCTTATCTTCAAGCCCCTGAGTTATGTTGACCCTCAAACACTGGGGGATGAAAGGCATGGACGCTTTCAGCCCTTATTAACATCATGAAGCCTATTTGCAATCTAAGAATAAAGACTAGAGTACAATCACTTAAAAACATCACAAATACACATTTCTTGAAAATACAGCATATAAGTTAAATCTTGGGTTGAAAGATCACATTTCCACACGAGATGCTCCTTACTACAAATGTACATCTTTTTTAAAGGCTAAGGAAGGTTGCATACTGGATGAGAAACAGCAAGCTTTATTTTGCTGCCCATCCATCACATTGGAGGACCAAAAGTTAAGGATTCTTTGGGAATCTGAAGAATCAGACAAAGTCTTCAAAGTCTACGGTAGGCAGGAGTGGTTTCCAGTAAAAGAATTGGCTGAACTCTGGAGAAGCCATGGAAGCATTCATATCTTTGCCAATAGGTGGAAAGAGAAATTCTACCACTTCACCCAGGCGCTCATACCTAGAAGAGGACATGAACAATTAAAGAGGACAAGCATCTTTTCTTGCACATTTATAGTTTCAACGTACCCAACTTTCCTAAATTGTATTAAGAAAGCAAATCCAGGTAGTCCTGGTATAATTGGTGGCTTAGCAACTTTTCATAGTTATGCAGGACCCGTTTAAAAAATTGCAACAATGGGTTAGCTGCCCCATTGCTGGGTGGGCGCGGCCATGGGGGATGTGGCCTAGTCGGCCTCCTGCACCAAGGGGTGTGTGTGTGCCCTCACCAGGCTCCAGAGCTTTTCTTGAGCCTCCGGGAGGGTGAAAACTGTTTTCCCCAACCTCCGGATGCCCTCCAGAGGCTGGAAACAGGCCTGTTTCTGGACTTCTGAAACCTCTGGTAGGCCCATTCCCCCCCACTCTTGAGCCTCTGCATGGGCCCTGCACTTTGCTGGTATGATGAATGGGCCACATGGAGACTCCTGGGATGGGAAGGGTGGAATGGGCATGGCAGGGTGGGCTTGGCCAGCTAGGGATGGTATTTGGGGGTTCACTGAACTGGGCAGAATCCTAGCTAGAGGCTTGACTGAACCTGTGCAAACCCCCAGCAGCCCACTCCTGGGACCCCCCAAAACAGGCACTTATGATCTGGATTTGAAGTTAGGATGGCTGGCTCCCTTCTGAAATGATCACAATTTGGGCGCTTGCCAATTGGCTCGCATTTATAGCTGTTTGCATCATCTCACAGAGACATGATTATGATTTACGTTTTTTTTGCCAGAAACTGGCATTTATTTCCTGTTTCTGGCACACACAAAAAACAACTACCACTCATGGCAGATAATCAGTTTATTTAATAACTATTGCAAAAAACCTCATAAAATTAGATTGATCTCATGGTGACCCATTTAATGACCAGCATTATCTATGACTATAATATTGGGTTCGATTACGCTTATAAGTCGAGGGCTACCTGTATTTACTCATGTTGTTTATTTATTATTTTAATATTAATAAATGCAATTATACTCTTATGTCCATCCCATGCACATACTCCTGAACTATGGATCTCCGATTAAACCCATTACAGAGATTTCCAGTAATAGTGGTAACCCATAATAAGCTTTTTTTGGTTGCGATATCATTTTTAGGAACATTTGCCATATAATACACTGACATTGCCATTAATGCTTCCATAATTTCCTCTATACATGCTGGTGCACAGTCTGAAGGCCCAGGTTACATGTGGCCTTTGAAATTACATCCAAAGTGCTTTCAAAAGTTGTAAAAATTATAGAATAATTGTAAAAATTAGAATAGGGAAATGGTACTCTGTTTAAGTTTAGTAAAACCTGAACTTATAAAATATATGTTTAAATTCGATAAATTTTATTTTTGCCCTTGCTATTTCTACTTTTTAGAAATAGCCAGAGCAAAAATAAAATTGATGTAATTTAAATGTAGATTAGGTTTTATAAGTTCAGGTTTTATTAAAGTTTTCTCCCAATTGTGTTGGATTTGGATGGAGTGCTGGGAAAACCTTTTAGAATGTATCCAACAGGATTGCATTCAAATCCAGCACAATTAGGAGAAAGCTTTATGTCTGTGCTGTATATGATTGAATGATGTTGGTAGAGGTGAAAAATGTTTCAGCTGAATCACATGATAAAGAACCCTCTCACTGCATAGTTTTGCCCTATATTAGCCATTTACACGTTTTGTTTTAAGCAAATTGTTTTTTACAACTTCAAGGTGCTTTACAGACTGAGAAAGAATGGGCTGATTTGCAAACTTACGTGGACTTGGTAATTTTTATGAGTTCCTGGGTCAATTCCCCTTTGGGATTTACAGTGAATATGCGGGATTCTGGCAATGCCACTTCCTTGTAAGCATAGACATCCTGTTGAAGAAATCACAAGCAGCATATATGTCAAAATAATAATAATCATCATCATCCTCATAATCATAATCATCAAAGGTAAGATATTTCCTTTATACATTCCCTTTACTACACATGTTCCTCATTCTGCTGATACTCACAGTTAGTCTGTTCCCAAACGCAGCATGAAAAGGCCGGCTATTGGGACCAAATAAATTTCGGATATCTGTCAGACAGGCAATTTTGAACACTTCTGGCTTCTTCTCAATTACTTCCCTATAAAGCAATGGATAAATAGTTTAGAAAGGTGAACTGCTTTTCCCTCTTCCTGGTCAAGTACTTATGAATTTAAATGGAGGAGGAAGTAATGGTAAAGTACTAATTTCCAGCACCTGTTTACCAAGTTGTAATTCCAGATGCAAACCAAAATTTTAATTTACAGCTTTCATCTTCCTCCTTATGTAGAATCATAATCAATGAATTCCAGGTGATACTTATTCAAACATCCCATCCTTCCACTACTAGGCATCTCTGTGATCTCCGAAGAAAGCAGTAAAACAGTGCTCACTCAATGTAAGACACACCCACCCTCTTCCATTACATGGAAATACTTACCTGTGAAATGCTGAGAAGAGGCTGCTAGGTGCAAGCAGGATTGGTCCTTTGGGGAGCACCCAACCTTGGTCATTGACACATTCTAAATATCCTTTGGTGATGTGGGCCATGCCAATAGCTCTGGCTGAACAATAGAGAAACTTGTATCCGTTGCTAGAATGGAGATGATACCAAATGGAATAAAGCCATTTTGCTTAACAGCCCTCTCATCTGATCTCCCCCTCCAATAGGAATGGTACAACTGCTTTTGTTCCTGATCAGCTCTTACAACTGGGTCAAAGGGACACACATTTGAAAGCAATAGAACAAAGTAATATTCTCTGAGTATTTCTAAAATACCTCTCCATATCAAATACAGGTAGTCCTCAACTTACAGCAGTTCATTTAATAACAATTCAAAGTTACAACAGCACTGGAAAAAGTGACTTATGACCATTTTTCCCTTTGTAGGTTGATATTGTGATCAAAATTGAGATGCTTGGGAATTGGTTCGTACTTATGACCATTGCTGTGTCCCAAGATCATGTGGTCTCCTTTGACAAGCAAAGTCAATGGGGAAGCCAGATTCATTTTACAGTCATGTTACTAACTTATCAACTACAAGTGATTCACTTAACAACTGTGGCAAGAAAGGTCATATAATGGGGCAAAACTCCCTTAAGAAATGTCTCACTTAACAATAGAAATTTTGGGCTCAATTGTGGTCGTAAGTTGAGGACTACCTGTATATTTGTTCTTCAAATGGATATTTCCCTACTTCAGTGTTCTTTTATGGTCTGCCTTAGGCCACCGTCCTTCCCCCTGCAAAATCCAAATAAATCTGGGATCCTATAATAGATATAATGTTGCCAATCAAATTTGATT